TCCCTACTAGGTGATCTAATCATTTCCCATGGCTTTAAATGCCACCCGTATGCTCTTGACTCACATGTGTGTCTCCAGTCCTGATCCCTCCCTGAGTTTTATGCAGACTTCATTTATTGAACAGCTTCACTTGATGTCATTACAAACCTAACGTGCCCCAAATGGAAGTCTTGAGTTATACCCCAAACCTGTTTTGTTACTAGTTGCTCTCTTTCCATCAGCACCTGTGTCACACTGCTGTTGAGGCCAGAAACCCAAGTCATCCTGATTCTGTTTGTTTTTCCCACACCAATCAGCAAGTCTTCTCAGCTCTGTCTTCAAAATACATCCCACATCTGACTGCTGCTCACCACCTCCACCCCTCCCCCCTTAGTCCAGGACACCAACATCTCTAGCCTGGACGAATGCAGTAGCCTCCTAACTTGCCTCCCTGCCTCCATTCTCACTCTCCTTCATTCTGTTTCCACAGAGACTGTAGTCATTCTCCTAAAAATGTGAGTCAGGTTATAATACCTCTGTAAAAAATGACCCCCAAATTTCTCATTACACTTAGAATAAAGTCCAAACTCTTGCCAAGGTTCTATGTGATGTACCATTCTCAGTACTCACTGCATTTCCCACTGACTGCTCAGCTCATCAGCACATCAAGCCTGTTCCTGCTCCAGCGTCTTTACATTTGTAGCTCCATCTGCCTGGAACATTTCCCCCAAGGTCTTTTCATGGTTTGTGACTTCTCAACATTTAGGTCCCTGCTCAAATATCACTTCACTCATTACCCTATCAGGAGTACCAACTCCTCTCACATCAAAATACTTCTGACCCTGTTTTGATTTCCATGGCACTTGTCGTGACTAGACATTTGTTGCCTTTGCCCCATACTTGAGTGTAAGTTCTCTGAGGGCAGAAACAGTGTCTGTCTTGTTTATTGCTATATCCCTAGCACCTAAAATAGTGCCTGGCACATAATAAATACTCTAATAATGGATGGATGGATGGACATCTGCAGCTCCGTACTTATATCCTGCAGGGCATCTAAGTCAATGCAGCTAAGAGAAATAGAATGTGAGCCACATGTGTGATTTAAAATTTTTTAGCAGCTACATTAAAAAATAAGGAAAAACAGGTGAAATTAACTTTAATAATTTAACCCAGTATATAAGAATATTAACATTTTAACAAATAATACTAAAAATTAGTTATTTTACATATTTTTTTAAAACAGTATTCAAACTCTGGTAAATGTACAGCTGCCTCAATTCAGACTAGCCACATTTCATGTACTCGAGCCACATGTGGCTAGTGGCTATCATGTTAGTACAAGTGTAGGCAGTCACCCTACTGTTCTTGTTCTCTACTTATGTGAGATCCAGAATGGGAGGAAGCTAGAAACTTCTGATGGTGGGGGAGGAGGGTGTTTCTTAGCTCTCCCTGCTTCGTCTCCCTCTTCTGAAGGAAGCTTTGGGGATGTCCAGGCTAACAGAGGCATGACCATGTCCTTAGGATGATGATGATGATGATGACTAAGCTGCTGCACTGTGCTGAGCATTTCATATAAGCTCATTTAATTCTCACGGCAATCGCATTTTACAGATTTGGTTGTGGAAACCAAAGTAACTTGTTCAAATTTACACATCTGCCAAGTGTTAGAGATGGAATGTAAGTCTGGCTAAAAGTTAAAGCCTGTATTATAATCATTATGTGACCATTTTTATTTTGCCACTTTAATGGTCCATGTAGCCTGGACAAATGAAGAGAAATACAAATGATAGAAAGGAGCTGACATGACTCTTGGGCTTGGACTCCCAGCACAGCTGAAGTTGCCTCCATCCTGATTCTCCGTTTTAGTTTCTCAAACACCTTAGGTGTGACTTCAGTGTCAAACTGTGTTCAGGTCTCAGATCCACTAATTAATAACGGTGTAACCTTCAGTAAAATCGAGTAATGCCCGTTTCCTCTTCTGGAGAATGGGAATGCTAATACTAACATCAGGGGCATTTGAGAAAATCCAGTAAGATGACTATAACGTCTGTAAAGCATTGAGCACAGTGCCCAGTGGCTAGTAGCCACTCAGGACAGGCTAGGTCCTATACTTCTCTTCCCCCTCCAGGCTGCAAGGGAGGCAAAGAGTCACTGACCTCCTAGGTCCACCCCTTCTCTTCACATATTCTGTGGGGCCCTGGAAGCTATTGCTGCTGGAACTTAGCAACTGGGTAGGTCAGAGAAAGTGGGGCAGGTATTAGCACTGGTGCTTGGGATCCTACCCAGTACTAACACGTTTCTCTCTGTGGCACATATTCATCCAGTAGCGGAACCTAAACACCTCAGAGAGGCTCTTACCTCCTCCCTCTCACTCCTCTCCCACACTCTTGACATTCCATCTCACAGTGGCTCCTGGTCCGACTACTACTCATTCCTTTCTGCTGCTGTCCAACAGTATGTCTTTGCTCCAGCCCCTGCCTCAGCTCATGCAGTTACACAGCCTTCCTCCACGCTGGCTGCCAGGATAATCTTTCTAAGCCAACCTGACCATGTCACTTCCCTACTTAAAATCTCCTATTTTCAGGACTGAGTGTCAACTACTCAGCTTGTCATTGATCCAACAAGTATGGGGGCTGGGGGATGTACCTTATGCCTAAGCGTTCTTACGGGCACAAAGATACAGCAGTGCACCAAGCACAGCGAAAGCCCTGCCCACACGGAGGGGGCTTTCATTCTAGGGGCCCTTCACAGTCTGGACCCCAGCATCCCTTTACAGCCTTATCTCCCCGCAACTCCCTTCCAGCCCACCTCCCTCCCACACGCCGGGCACTCTGGTCTCTTCTCCTGCCAAGCCTGTCCACGCTCCCCGTGTTAGACTAGTCCCCTCCTCTCAGATCCCTCCATTCCCCGTGCCGCGCCGGCAAACTGAGGCCCCTCTTCCTGCCAACTAAAGCCCCGTGGCCCCTCCCCTGCCCCTCGGGGATTGTGAGCTAACAGCCGTGGGGGTGAGAGGCTTGGGACGGCGCGGCTTCTCCTGGGCCGGCCCCTCTCCACCGCCCAGGAAGCGGGGAAGGAGTGCGGGCCCCCACCCCATCTAAGAATGTCTGGTCCCCAGGTAAGCAGCCGCAGCGTCGCACGCGCCTCCCCCAGGGTGCTGTCGGCGACCACGGCCCTGGGGGGAAGGAGCTGTTCCGAAGCGCGGGCGCCCAGCCCCGGCTCCATCTCTTCCAGCTTTTCGCCTGGGCGTCGTCGCCGTCGCTGTCGTCCAGGACCGACGCGGCACAGCGGGCAGGGGAGGGGCGAGGAGGGGAGCGCCGGTGTCTCCAACTCGGACAGACCGGCGTCGGGAGGAGGCCGGCTCCCTGTCGGTCTGTTGGCCTCTAGGGTGGCGGGATGGATTGGGGGCGGCCAGTGGGGGGCGGGGCGTTTCTAACTCGAGGGGCTGTGCGCGTGGCTCACCGCCCGCGGGGGAGCGCCGCCTGGGGCCTTCTCGCTCTAACGCTGCGCGGGTTTCCAGGCAAGGCACCGACTTCTCCACGTCTTGCCTCTCCTGAGAAATCGCCGAGTCCCACGCAACTCTCCCCTCTTCTTCCGCTAGCAGCCCCAGCGTCGGACATTTCTGCTCGCTCACTTAGTTCTCCTCACTCACCAGTCTAATGGCTGGTTTCCTTTTCTTCAGCCTCTCCCCTCGAGACCACCCTCCACCTCCAACCCACATCTGATCAAGACACCCCCTTACCAAATAAACATCACTGCTCGCCCACAGCGGCAAGGCAAGGTCACAGCAGCTATCACAACTGTGGCCTCCCTGCCGGCTTTGCCTCCCGGCAGCCCTGTCTCCCTGGGACCCAGCCTCCTCATTGGGCTTGCGCCCTTGCAATTTCCTTTGCCAGGAAGCACCCGCCTTTGTTTATGCCTGGAGACCCTCCGTAAATATCACATTGGCCAAGCCTTCCCCTGCCCCCACCCCAGACTTAGTCTTCCCTGGACACCCTCAGCAACCGGACAACCCCTTGTCCAACCAGAGTTGCCACACTGCTGTCACCGTCCCTACACACATCTGCCTCCCCTACCAGACTCCCAGCCTCCTGAGGGTGCCCAGAACACAGGCCTGGCGCACAGCAGGCATCGGCAAATAAAGATCATAAACGTTGGGTAGATGCGGGGTGTGCTGAGGGGGCTGGATTGTTCACTTGAGAAGGCTTCTCACAGGACACACTAGACAGGCTTTGAGTGATTCTGTGCAGGGAGATGATCTCGGGCAAGCACCAGAGTGCCCTATTAATTTAACAGTCATTGAACAACTTCTGTTGTCGGGCCTCGTGCCGGGCACAGGGGACCTCGGTCGGCACTCAAGTTCCTTCCCCTGTAGTAGAGAAGGAAGACCACATAGGCGGTGCCAATACAGAATGCCAAGTGTCACACGGTGAGCACAAGCAGATGTGGCAGTGCAGAGGAGGAGCAGCTCAAGACTTGAGGGGGTGTCAGGCTTCCCAAAGAGGCCCACCACCCAACCCAAGACCAGAGGGGGGGCAGAGAAGGGGTCAAGGGGCAATGGAGAGAGGAGGCTGAGAGTCGAGCAGGGCTTCATCACGAAGGGCTTGCATACCACATGAAGGAGCTGGACTCCATCCTGAGGGTGTTGGGGAGCCACTGATGGCATCCGAGGAGCCGGGGAGTGACGTGAGTTAGTCTTGCAGGCCACTGCTGGGCAAGGCCTCAGCTCTGACCCCCTCCTCTGAGACGCCTCCTCTGAGCCCCCTGACAGGCGGGGCCCCTCTTCTGTGCTCCCTCAGCAGCCTTGTCACCTCCTCTTCTGTGCAGGGTTGAATGCCTCTGCCAGACTGAGCTTTTTGAGAGATGAGACCAGGTCTTAATCTTCTCTATCCCAAGACCAAGTGCTGAATGAACGGATTTTTCCTTTTTTCTCTAAATTTCAACAGCTCTTACTCTCAGCTCCACATCCTTCCATACCTGGGGCCTGTGCTACAAATGGCTTTTAACTGGGAAAGAGGAGGCTCAGTTCCAATCCCAGCTCCACCATTTGCTGGAACAAGTTGCTTAACTGTTCTGAAACCTCAGTTTCCCCATTGTTAAGATGAGTTACCACCATGAACTGTCTGTAAGTCTCCACAGGCATGCATGAGTCTTGTTTTCCTGAACAGACTGTAAATTCCATGGTCCAGGCAGGGACCAAGGGCTTTCCCCAGCACCTTGCTCAGTCTGAGCTTACAACGAATACTACGATCAGTCCTGTTGGTTGGTAGACAGCAGAGTACACAGGAAAGAACACTTACAGTGAAGTTGGAAGTCTTGTTCTGCCACTTCCAGTGTGACCTTGAACAAGGTTCTTCCCCTCTCTGAGTCTTCCTTGCCTTACCTGGCAGACCTCACAGGGCCAGTGGAAACCACAGAGGTGAAAGTGCTTTGTGAATGAAAGAGATACTATAGTAGACAATTAATTGCACATTAATTTAAAAAAAACACCAGGGACTTCCCTGGTGGCTCAGTGGTTGAGAGTCCGCCTGCTGATGCAGGGGACGTGGGTTCGTGCCCCGGTCCGGGAAGATCCCACATGCCGCAGAGCGGCTGGGCCCATGAGCTATGGCCGCTGAGCCTGCGCGTCCGGAGCCTGTGCTCCGCAACAGGAGAGGCCACGACAGTGAGAGGCCCACGTACCGCAAAAGAAAAAAAAAAAAACCAAACCGTGTAGTAGTATAGATGAGGTGTGTCTCGTACTTGGTGGACACACCCCAGGTATCTGCTGACTGCCTCTGAGATGCTGGGATGCTGCTCTTCCAGGTGCAGACTAGGCTGGAACAGAGGTGCTTGGTCTTGCTCGGGTCAGCCCTGAGACTCAAGACAGACCAGGAGGGAAGGGTTGATAGGGAGGGAGCAGGCATCCAATCCTTTGCCACCCTCCCATCCCAGATTTCTCAGACTAGCATTGCTTCCCTGTCTTAGGTTTTGAGGGGACCTGGCATGACAAGGTCTCAGGAGTCCCAGTGGCTTTGGCATTGTAACTACTGATACCCCTTGGTGAATGAAGCTGGCCTATGCGAGCAGTTAGCTCCACCGTGCTGCCTGATAAACTCCCAGCCCCAAATTCCAAGTCCGGCCCCCTCTCAGCCTCTGACATACTGGTGGCAGTATTTATGGGAAAGGACCATGATTTGTCTTAGCTCTTGCCCAGACCAGAAGGGCCTGCGGCTGTACAGAGGGGCTGTATGGAGGCAGAGTCTCAGCTTCCTCACCTCGAAAATGAGTGGGGATTAAATGAGAAAACACCTTGGAACTTGTACATTTTACTCACATGCAGGATTGCTATTTGTGGGTAGTGTGTTTACAACCAGTGGGGCCTCCCTGTTTCAGAGAACGCTGGGGCTCTTTCTCCAAAAGAAAGTTTCACAGACAGTGTATGTGTAAGGAGTGCACATGTTTGGTCTTAGAGCGAAAACAGACACAGAGAGACTGTGAAAATGGCCAGGGCCAGCTGATTCCCTGCTGCTGAGAGAGGCTGAGGGAAGGGAGGAGGCCTGGGCAGGGCCTGCTTCTGCACGGGGAGGCTGTAGCTGCCCAGCCAGACTGCCCATCTGAGCTCCCTCATTGCCTGCACAAACCTCCTACCCCACAAACCTCCTGCTGCTGAGATTATGCCCCCTTTAAGAAGCACCAGATTTAGAATCAAACAGGAGGGATTGGGCTTCCCTGGTGGCGCAGTGGTTGAGAGTCCGCCTGCCGATGCAGGGGACGCAGGTTCGTGCCACGGTCCGGGAGGATCCCACATGCCGCGGAGCGGCTGGGCCCGTGAGCCATGGCAGCTGAGCCCGTGAGCCATGGCAGCTGAGCCTGCGCATCCGGAGCCTGTGGTCCGCAAGGGGAGAGGCCACAACAGTGAGAGGCCCGTGTACCGCAAAAATAAAACAGGAGGGATTGATTCTCCTCACCTAATGTGTGACTTTGAGCAAATACCTCCATTTCTCAGGACCTCAGTTCCCTCATTCATGAAACGGGGATAATTATAGCACCATCTCCTAAGGTTGTCAGGATCAGAAGAGAGAACGTGGTGGAAGTGCCATATGAATTATTTAGTGCTGTCCATATTCATTTTCTGCTGCTCATCTCTTCCCCTGTTGACACTTGGGGCACCTCAGCCACAGCCCTGTCTTTCTGAGGGAGTGAGTGTGGACTCCGGGACAAAGGAGCCTGAGTCTGCAGCGGGCCCTTTGTGCTTCCTTCCCTTCAGGTGGCCTCTCTCCCCCTGGGCCACTCCTGGGGGTGAGGGGGTTACCCTTTTCCAGTGTTTTTGTTCCTGTGGGGCTCACTCCAAAGTATTAAAAGTAGCTTTATAATTAAAAAAAAAAGAAAAGAAAAAAAAAAAGGAGGGCTCATTTATGATAAAGGTCTCTATGACAAGGGTTCATCTCTCAGATGGGGGAAGGGCGCATACCCCTTGGACCCTGGGCCATGGGAGTGCCAGGAGGGTCAGCATATGGGCTAGAGGGAGGTCTGTGCTGTAGGGCAAGGGGTGTAGTCAGAGAGGGGTGGAAGCTATGGTCGTGCTGGTTCACTCACTTTGCTATTGAACTTCCCCAGGCGCTCATCTTCAGCACCTTTGTCTTACCTCCTGGGTCTCCTCCATCCTTCATCTACCAACATGAAACCATGTTGGGAGGGCGCAGCTCTGGGGTGAGGTCTAGGGGAACAGGAGCTACTGGGTCCCTGGGAGCCTCTTTTGGGACTCTTTGCCCTTGACAACCCCTTGTCCCTCTCCCCTGGGCCCCAGGTCAGCACACCAGTTTCTTCCTGACCAAAGAGCAGAGCCACGCCCAGATGAATGAATTTTCCTGTAAGGATGTTGCCAGTGCCTTGTCTGTGGCCAACATGATCCTGGGGCTCTTCTCCATCTTCTGCAGTTTCCGCAAGTAGGTCTGGGGCCCAGCAAGCTCTCAGCCAAGAGCTGGAGCCAATGGCGTGAGGGAAGGAGTGGGGAGTCTAGAGAGCCAAGCTCTGAGGCGTACAGATCAACTGGGGGCAGGAGAGAGTGTAGTAGGTTGGGAGTCAAGGGGTCAAGATCCTGGCCTCAGTTCTACCACCAGCCTGATATGCGACCTTAGCTAGGTCATATCCTGAGCCTCAGTTTCTCCATCTTTAAAACAAGCAGCTCACACTATGATCTCTATAGTTCCTTCCAGCTATGGCAATCTAGAATGGTTTCTATGAGAAAATCAAGAGGTTTTGAGATTTCTGTTCTGATAGCCTTTGCACAATCCTTGGGTAGGCAGGCGACCATTAAATTTTTTTGATTCTTAGATTAGAGCATATGATCTGGCAGAATATTTGAAATTAGCACTGTTCTGGAAACTCTGAGACATGTATATGGGCCCCCCAAAAAGCTGTAGGCAAATTATGTTTCTATAAATTGAATCATATTTCAATGGCTTTGGGAAATCAGCTCTTTAAAGGTAAGTCCTTTATAATGCAAATAACATACTCCTAATCTGTTTGATTCTTTATAACCATGAGCAAGTGACTTCTCTGGATCTATTTCTCAACCATAAAATAAGAGGATTTCACCTGATTATGTTTAAGTTCCCTTCCAGTTTGAAAATTATATGATTCTCTAAGTCTGGGTTTTTGGGGTCTCATAAAGTGGGGCATACCTGCAGCAGAAAACCGCTGTCTTCTTAGTTCAACCTAATCTTCTGGGAGTGTAGTTTTTATGCCATAATGGTGGGCGCAATTCCCTTTAGACACATAGGTATGGGTCTAAACAAAGGAAATACTAAGGTTGTTTGGGGACAGCTGAGGCCTGAGGTCAGGCTCTCTGTTTGCTTCTGCTGGGCCACCCAAGCATTGCAGTCAGGGTATCGACTTGCGTATGGCCTCCTAGGGCACTTTGGTCTGAGATTGTGGTAGCTGATTTCAGAGGAGTCTGGGAGCATGTGCTGGAAAGAATCAGAGTCCTTGGGTGTAAGGTCTGAAAGATATCTTAGAAATCATTCAGAGCATCAAAATACATGAGACAAAAACTGATATAACTACAAGCAGAAACTGATGACTGTATTATCATAGTTGGATATTTCTATACCCCTTTATCAGTAATTGATAGATCCAGCAGGCAGAAAATCAGTAAGGATATAGTTGAATTGAACAGCACCATCAATCCACTGGATCTAATTGATATTTATAGCATACTTCATCCAACAGTAGCAGAATACACATTCTTCTCAAGATCACCAAGATAGACCACATTCTGGTCTGTAAGACATACCTTAACAAATTTAAAAAAATAGAAATCATACACAGTATGCTCTCAGGCCATATGGAGTTAAACTAGAAATTAATAACAGAAAAATAACTAGGAAATTCCGAAATACATGGAGGTTAAACAACTGACTTCTAAATAATACATAGATAAAAAAGGAGTCTCAAGAGAAATTAAAAAAAAATATTTTGAACTAAAAGAACGTGAAAATACAACTTATCATAATTTGTGAGATGCAGTGAATGCAGTACTTTGAGGGAAATTTATAGCATTGAATGCATATATTAGAAAAGAAATCTGCTCTGTAAAAGACCACGTCAAGAAAACTAGAAGACAGGCCATAGACTGGGAGAAAATATTTGCAAAAATACATCCGATAAAGAACTACAGTCCAAAATATACAAAGCTTAACACTCATCAATAAGAAAACAACCCAATTAAAAAAGGGCCAAAGACCTTAACAGACACCTCACCAAAGAAGATATCCAGATGGCATTTAAACATATGAAGAGATACTCCACATCATATATCATCAGGGAAATACAAATTAAATGGCAATGAGATAACACTATACACCTATTAGAAGGACCAGAATCCAGAACACTGATAGCAACAAATGTTGCTGAGGATGTGGAGCAACAAGAACCCTCATTCATTGCTGGTGGGAATGCAAAATGGGACAGCCACTTTGGAAGACAGTTTGGTGGTTTCCTATAAAACTAAACATATTCTTACCATATAATCCAGCAATCACACTCCTCGGTATTTATCCAAATGAAAACTATGTTCAAAACCTGTACTTGGATGTTTATGATGTTTTATTCGTAATAGCCAAATCTTGGAAGCAACAAAGATGTCCTTCAGTAGATGAATGGATAAATAAATTGTGGTACATCCAGACAATGGAATATCATTCAGTGTTAAAAAGAAATGAGCTATCAAGCCCTAAGAAGACATGGAGGAACATTAAATGCATATTATTAAGTGAAAGAAGCCAATCCAAAAAGGCTACATATTATATGACTCCAACTATATGACATTCTGGAAAAGAAAATATGTGTCCAAAAATATGGAGACAATAAAAAGATCAATAGTTTCCAGAGGGGTTGAGGAGGACATAAATAGGTAGAGCACAGAGGATTGTTAGGGCAGTGAAAATGCTCTATATGATATTATAATGATGGATATATATATATATATATATCATTATACTTTTATCCAAAACCATAGAACGTATAACACCAAGAGTGAGCCCTAAGGTAAACTATGGACTTTGAGTGACTACAGTGTGTCAGTGTAGGTTCATCCTTGGTATGTACCAAGGCCAGAATGCACCATTCTGGTGAGTGATGTTGATAATGGGAGAGGCTATGCATATGTGGGGCTAAGGGGTATGTGGAAATCTCTGTATATCTCTCAATTTTGTTGTAAACCTAAAACTTCCCTACAAAAATAAAGTCTTAGAAAAAATGGAAAAGAAGGAAGATCTAAAATCAATTATGTAAGCTTCCACCTTAGGAAACTAGAAAAAGAAGAGCAAGTTAAATCCACAGTAAGAAGAAGGAAAGAAATAATAAAAATTAGAGCAAAAATCAATGAAATCGAAAACAAGAAAGCAATTTAAAAAAATCAATGAAACCAAAACCTGGTTCTTTGAAAAGATCAATAAAATTGATAAACCTCTAGCCAGGCTAACCAAAAAAAAGACAAGACACAAATTACCAGTGTCGGAAATGAAAGTGGAGGAATCATTACACGGACATTAAAAGCATAGTAAAGGAATATTGTGAACAGCTCTGTGCCCACAAACTTGATAGCCTAGATGAAACAGACCAACTCCTTAGAAGATACAAGCTACCAAAACTCACCCTAGGAGAAACAGATAATCTAAATAGGCCTATACCTATTAAATAAATCATTTGGTACAAACCCCTCATTTTATAGATGGAGGAACAGAGACCTAGGAAGGAGGAGTGGTTTATCTGAGATGGTTGTAGAGGCTGGACTAAGGCCTAGGACCCCCTTGCCACTGAATGTGCCTGGAATTTAGAATTGAAAGGGACCTTAATGATTACCGAGGGGGTTGAGGGCACCCCTTTAAGACTGTGGGTTGAGAATAAGAGTATGGAAGGGATGTAGATATGTGTGCGGGTGTGTGTGTGTGTGTGTGTGTGTGTGTGTGTAAAGCAGCACGTATGAGAAAGGACGTGAGTGTGGGGAACATGTAGGGGTGTGTGTATGTGTGCTAGCATAGGAAGCATATAGCGGGAGGGGGGTGGAGTCCAGTGGAGACTATGAAAGAGCTGCCCTTTGGGGCCTGCTGGCCTGCATTTTAGGAAGTCCCCCTGTGCCTCCTGGATGCTTTTGGTCAGCTTTCTATTAGACATGGCTATCGGGGCAATGACCAGACACCTCAACAGCTGCTCCACATCAGGTGAGTCCAGGCCTCAGACTCATAATCCCTGACCCCAGGAGCACCCATTCAGGTCAGCTCCTCCATCCTCTGAAATACAGCAGGCTTCCTTGAGTCACCACTCCTGTTCACATCCCTCTGAGTGTAGCAGAAGCAGCCCTTGAACAGAGTTTGTGAGCCCCACAGTCTAGATCTAGCTCCTCTGCTGGTTCGCTTATTGATCGCTGGCTGTCTTTGTCCTGGCCTTCAGTGGGCTTATCTGCCCCGTCTCCCTCTTCAGGGCGGATCTGGGAGTGGGAGTGGTGGTTGTGGTCACGGGGGAGTGGGGAAATGAAAAATTACCCCAAGCAGAGCTGCTGGTTTAAAATATGTCAAGATATTTCCATGCAAGATTTTGCTTGAAAAAAAGGGTTCCACAGCTTATCGATACGTTCCCAATTGTGGTCCAACCCTTGCGTGTTAAAGGATGGGAAAACTAAGACCTAGACAGGGAAAGACTTGTCTAAGGCCATGTGGTCAGTTTGAGGCAGAGCCAGAAGGAGATCCTAATCTTTGATCAACAGGCCCCCCCGGGGGAGCAGCTGTTGCCCTCTGGCCCCTCAGGGACCTGACAAACAGGATCCCGCTCGTCCTCACTCCAGCTCCCCAACTAGAGGGGACTAAGGTATAAGACATATGAGTGTAAGTTCTTCTAACCTTGGCCTTCTGGAACAGGAGCCAAGCTGAATGACTTTGCTGTCTTCACCACCTTTGGCCTGGCCTCAGCCCTGCTTCTAGGCATGGATGGGCCTCTGAACGGCTTCCTGGCCATCATCTATGTGTTGGCTATTTCAGTCCGCCTCTGTTTCTATTCAGCTGGTGAGTGGAAGCCAGCTTTATGGCTGAGGGTAGGGAACCATGGAGGGGAGAAGCTGTTGGATGCCAGAAGCGTGAGGTGCAGTAATTGACTCCTTTCCTTCCTTTTACGGAGACCCCCTTCCTTCCTTCTCCCCTGCTCTAGGCCCACTGGAGACTGCCGGCTGCATTGGCAGAGACCTGTTCTAGGGGGCGGGAACCTTTGGTTCTTGAACCAGCTGTGCCTTTTTCTTGTAGTGTGACCTTTGGGTGGAGCATATGAATTCACAGACTCTAGAACTAGAGGTCATACTCCAGTTTCCCATAACAGATGGAGAAACTGAACTCTGGTGAGGGTAATTACCTTGCCTAAGGTCACAACGCAAGGGATTGCAGATGCAGACAGAAAGATCTCAAAGGACCCCTCTACAGAGGCTTCCTAGAGGCCAAGGCATAGGCGTGGTCCTAGCTGCCTGCTTTACCTTGAGGATCCAGTGCGAAACTCACACATCATCTCCAAATAACTAAGTGCTTTATGGCTGGCCACTGCCCTGGGATTAGGGGATTTGGAATGTGGGGCAGGGAAGACCCAAAGAGAGAAGGGCTTCCTCTGGTGGGTGCTTTAGCAGTGGGAAGCAGCAAACCCCATCTTTTCTTTCCCTGCAGGTGTTCCCTTCACATACAAGGGTCTACCCTGCCCCTATGCTTCCTGTGTTTTGGCCTCCACCTCCCTCCTGACCAAAGGCAACACATTCATTCTCTCTTGCATGGCCTCACTCATGATTCTATTCATGATGGACCAGAGCTACTACCCACATGACGAAATCCTGGAGTCTGAGAACTGGAAAAAAATGGTCTATCTGGGAGGTGAGTGAAAATACTGCTCTTAAATGTCACTAGTGATCATTTATTATCACTGCTGCTCATTGCCACCCTGTACCTCGTCCCCACATTCCCTTTCTGTTTCACCCTGCTTTACTTTTCTCCATATAATTTATCATCACCTGATGCATATTTACTTGTTTGTTGTCTATACACACTAAACCTGCCCACCCCCCCATAGAAGACTCTTTTTCATTTGTGCTATAATTCCTAGTACCTAGGATTGTGCCAATCACATAGTAGATGCTCAATAAATATTTGTTGGATGTCACTAAGTTCAATAGAAATTTAGGGAACACTGACCATATGTGAGGTACTAGGAATCAAATTGGTAAACCAGACAAATACTTCCTGCCTCAGGATTTACAGTCCAATAGGGGAGACAGACACCAAACAAATCATGGCAGAAGTAACTAAAAATATATAGTTTTGATGTGCTGTGAAACTATAGGGTGCTCTCAGAGGGCATCAGAGGGTGACCTAATTTAGGCTGGAATGCCTTAAGGATGGGAAAGGATCCTTAAGGAGGTGACATTTAAACGAAATCTGGGTAAAAGTGGTCAAAAGGTAAAAACTCCAGTTACAAGATAAGTTCTGGGCATGTAATGTACAGCATGGTGGCTACAGTTAACAATACTGTATTGGCTTTTTGAAAGTTGCTAAGAGAGTAGATCTTAAAAGTTCTCATCACAGGGAAATAATGTGTAACTATGTGAGGTGATGGATTTTAAGTAAATTTATTATGGTTATCATGTTGCAATATATACAAGTATCAAATCGTTGTTGTTACACTTTGGACTAATAACAATGCTATATGTCAATGATATCTCAATAAAACTGGAAAAAAATTTAAAATACATGAAAACTGCAAGATGATTGGCCAAGTGGTGGGAAGGATGGTTCAGAAAAGGAAACAATTTTTGAATGCTCTGAGGCAAGAACAGCTGGATGCATTAGTGCACCAGTGTGGCTGGACTTGCTGAGAGAGGGCTTGTGAGAGACTGAGGCCAGCGAAGTGAGCAGACTGGGCAGGATTGGGGATTGGATCCTGTAGGCAAATGAGAAGCCTTTGAAGGGATTTCTGAGCCACAGTTTTAAACGATCACTTGGACTGTAATGAAGAGAATAGATTGTAGGAGACTAAGAATAGAAGTAGGAAAACCAGCTTTTTGTCAGATGAGAGGTGATGGTTTGCGGTGGAGATGAAGAGATTTGGCATAAATGTCAAAGTGACATAGTTAATTCATATGAATTGCATTTCCATCAAAGTATTACCACAGTCAGGTTGGTAGGGATTTTGGTTGACCTTTGTAATTGAGTTTGATACGGTAACACAGGGACAAAGTTGGCTTGGTCAACTTTGAAGCATGCAAAGCTAAACTCGCCTGTCATCTAAACTGGCCCTGTGTGGGGCTAGCTTCTGCTATTAAATCTCACAATGTTACTTGTTCTCCAGACTTCTGCAACAAAGTTAAAGGGGAAGAATAACATCTCACGTTTGTAGTACTTCCATCAGTTTCTTCCACACATTACCCACTCAATCTCATTATGACAGAGGGTGAGAGGCATTATTATTCCTCTCTTAAGGTAATAAACAGCCTTTTAAAAGTTAGGTGACTTGCCCAAGGTCACACTGCTGATAAGTGGCAAAGTATGGACTTTTCTAAATCCAGGTCTTGGGACTCCAAATCCCATGTTCATTCTGCTACATCACAGCGGTATCCCTTACAGGATCACTCATGCATTTCCATTCCAGAGGAGGCAGGACAACCAACAAATCTGTATTCTGGGGGCTAATAACCAACTGTCCTAGGCAGTCGAATATTATAAGTGTCAGTGTAGGGTAAGTATCATTTTATCCTCACAACTCAGGTTGGAAAGAGTCTCAATATATAGGTGAAGATGCTGAGATGTAGAGTAGATAATTAACTTGTTCAAGATCACTTAGCTACAAGAGTGTGAAATGAAAAGAGGAGTCTCTTGTGTTTGATTCCAAGGTGTGTTGAGGGTCCCCAAGACCATCTTCAGGTCTGGTGACTCACAGGACTCAGCATATAGTCAGACTCATGGCTATACTTTAGTATAGCAAAAAGACACAAAGCAAAATCCATAAAGAGAAAAAATAGATTGGGCAAAATCTGGAGGGAACCAGGCACAAGTTTACAAAAGTTCTCTCCCAGTAGAGTCATGCAAGATGCAATCTTTGGCAATGTACTGTGACAATACGTGTAAAATGTTGGCTATCAAGAGAGCTCATTAGAAACTCAGCACCCAAGGTTTTAATTGGTGGCTGGTCATTTAGGTACCCTCTACCTAGGATGTACCAAAATTACATTCTCTTAGAATGAAACCAAGTGTTCAGCAGAACCATACAGTTTATACATGGTAGGCACAGTAAGACTCTCTTACCATCTAGGGAAAGTTTTACAATGTAGGGAACTGTTTACTATTCAAGTTTCCAGGCCCACCTTGCAAGCAGGCCTTTCTAAGGATAGCATTCTCAGGCCTGCTATGTTAACTCTTTTCTGCATGCGTAAAATATTTTATTGACCCATATCTCATGTTAAACTCGAAACAATTAGGAATATTTTTTTTCTTTGTTTTTTTTTTTTCTAACAAGAGATCTGGGCAACTCAAATTTATTCTTGTCTAAGACTGACTTCTGATCTGAATTTGACAAAATGGAGCCTGAGATTGCATTAGACTGTAATTGTCTAGTTACACAGGGACAAACTCTGCAAAGGCAGGGATCATGTGTCATTGATTTTAGTGTCTTAGGCTCTGTGAGTAAAAACTGAAGGCTGAAAAGATGGGAATGGGAAGTAGAGGGTGGAAAATACACATAAGACAGCTTCATAAAAATTGAGTGTTTGCCTTTTTTCTTCCAGGTGTCATCATGGTGTTTTTGTCTCCATTGTCGCTAACTGCTTTTTACTGCCTGATGTGGTCACTCTCCTACATCTTCTTTCCAGATGCTCTGTGGCACAAGGCAGCATGTCTTAAGCTGCAGGACCGAAGACACTAAACAGCCTTACCCACTCCCGCTGGCCTCTGTGGGGTTTCTGCCAGCATGTTGGGCCAAGCCTTGCCTTACCCTTACTAAATGTTTCCTTGTCCCTATGTTGTGCATGTGCTAGATACATGTTGCCTTGAACCACAGCAACCCATGGTAGGGCCAGCGGCCTATATACTTCTTCCTCTTTATTCAGGGTTCTGAATCTCTTGGGGACGAGTTGTTTATGTCATACAGAACAGAATTTTTTCCAAGATAAATTTGGGCTGGGCTTGAGTTCCATCCCTGTTACCAGCTGGGTGGACTTGTGCACTCAGGTTAGTCCCTTGGAAATGAGTGAAACCCTTCAGAGTTGGTATAGCCTCCACCTTGGTCCTGCCTGAATGTAATTACTCCAGTGGTGAAGTGGGGCTTACTAACGCGTTTCTTAAATTTACAGACTCTGGCTCTGTAGAGCGGAGCTGATAGCAGGACAATCACATTGCCCAATTTGTGTGTAGGATTTTGTAACTTAAAATTCCATATTTCCACAATCAAAGCTTCTGCCTTTTGCTTTGTTTAGAGATTAGACACATTGGCATCTTGAGGGCATCGTCTGGTCTCCAGGATCTCATTATGTGTTCTTTTCCTAAGCTCTAAAATACTAAACTCTAGATATTCAAAGGGCACTTCATATTCTAAAATCCAAATTGAATAGAAATAAAATTGTATGCAGCCCTAAAGTGGCACCTCACAAAGAACTCAGGCCCGCTGAAAGCCATGCCCCCGGCACGGCCTCTGGACTTTCCATCTCCAGGTGGTGAACCAGATTATTGCCTAGTTCCGCCCCTTCCTCAACTGGGGCACCAGAGCACCTTTACCTCGGGTCTGACTTCTTTTCCTTTGCTTTTTTTTTTTTTTTTTTGTGGTACGCGGGCCTCTCACTGTTGTGGCCTCTCCCGTTGTGGAGCACAGGCTCCGGACGCGCAGGCTCAGCGGCCATGGCTCAGGGGCCCAGCCACTCCGCGGCATGTGGGATCTTCCCGGGCCGGGGCACGAACCCGTGTCCCCTGCATCGGCAGGCGGACTCTCAACCACTGCGCCACCAGGGAAGCCCGGGCCTAACTTCTTGAAGTTTGCAGAACAAAGTATATGGCAAATATGCTTTAAATCTAAAATTAAATGAAAAATAAAAGTCCAATGAAGTCCACATTTGCTATTTGACTCTAAAGGAACAGAAAGCACCCTCCTCTTCTCCACGGCTTTCTGTTTGTATCTCTGTTATATCATTTGTATTTTTTTTATGGTTAGATAAATATGTCTGTTTCCCACTGGATTTTAAGTTCCTTGAGTTTACATTTTTCTGCTGCCTGCTACAGTGCCGCACACTCAAAAACATTTACTTTGTTGATGAATTGATTTGGTTGTGCATTCTAGTGAGTTATATACAAGGTTACTATAATGTAGTAAGACTCTTACAAATATACATGGGCTCAGACATTTTAGTGTGATGTCCTTCGATGCTGAACCCTCATTTCACTGATGCTATCCTTCATCAAAATATTTTAGGAACTCCAGGTCAAGAAATGTCTTCACATAAGCTCTTAGAGGCCAGGACCTAGCACAGTGCCTGGACATAGTAGGTACTCAAAAAATACCTATTTTACTCTGAACCAACCAAATTTAGTCCAAAAACCTAATATTCAATATTAGCCAATGATGTCCTCTTTTTTTTTTTTTTTTGCGGTACGCGGGCCTCTCACTGCTGTGGCCTCTCCCGTTGCGGAGCACAGGCTCCGGACGCGCAGGCTCAGCGGCCATGGCTCACGGGCCCAGCCGCTCCGCGGCATGTGGGATCTTCCCGGACGGGGGCACAAACCCATGTCGCCTGCATCGGCAGGCGGACTCTCAACCACTGCGCCACCAGGGAAGCCCGTGATGTCCTCTTCTTAAACCAAAACCACATTAGCTATCAAATTTGGCCTCAAATGATTTTTGGCTATATCGAAAACTTGAACTATATTCAAAGGAAAAAGATGCAATTCTGAAAGACGATTTCCATGTCCATTTTGAGCCATAGCAGCAGAGCTAAAATAAATATGTAGACTTCCAAGAGGACTGCTTTGAACGGGAAAATACACATTTGATTGTATAAATTGTACTTTGTTTATAACAATAATAATCATACTACATTGCCTCAAAAAAAAGTTTAGGTTAGCAATATGAGGATAGTTATAGGTCAGCTAAGAGCCTCTTGACTTAACAGAGGGACATGTGCTTCCTTCTACCTATATGAAAGTAAGGCTACACTTCTACTCTGGCTCTGGGGTCTCAGGATGCTAATGCTAACCATTCAATGTCTTTACTTCCTTAGTCAGGAATCAAAATAAAAAATAGAACTAAAATAGAACTTGTTATAAAATTAACTAAATAAATAAAATAAAATATTCTAACATATAACAGATCTTAGGAACAAGTGAGAAGGCCAAGACTTAAAAAACATACTTCTCAAGCATCTTTTCTGATAACAATGGTATGAAACTAGAAATCAACTACAAGAAGAAAGGTGGGAAAAAAAATCACAAATATGTGGAGACTGAACAACATGCTACTGAACAGCTATTGGGTCAACAAAGAAATCAAAGGAAAAATAAAAATTATCTGAAGACAAATGACATGTCAAAACCTGAGATGGGGGCTTCCCTGGTGGCACAGTGGTTGAGAGTCCGCCTGCCGATGCAGGGGACACGGGTTCTTGCCCCGGTCCGGGAGGACCCCACATGCCGCAGAGTGGCTGGGACCGTGAGCCATGGCAAAAAAAAAAAAAAAAAAAAAAAAAAAAAACAACCTATGAGATGCACCAAAAGTGGTACTAAGAGGGAAGTTTATAGTAATACAGGCCTACCTCAAGAAACAAGAAAAATCTCAAACACTCTAAACTTACACCTGAAGGAACTGAAAAAAGAAGAACAAATGAAGCCCAAAGTCTGCTGAAGAAAGGAAATATTAAAGATCAGAGCAGAAATAAATGAAATAGAGACTGAAAAGACAATAGAAAAGATCAATGAAACTAAGAGCTGGTTCTCTGAAAGATAAACAAAACTGACAAACCATTAGCTAGACTCACTAAGAATAAAAGAGAGAAGGTAATGATAAATAAACTCAGAAATGAAATAGGAGAAATAACAACAGATACCACAGAAGTACAAAGGATCAGAAGAGAATATCATGATCAGCTATACATGAACAAATTGGACAACCTAGAAAGAATGGGTAAATTCTTAGAATCATATAGTCTTCCAAGAGTGAATCATGAAGAAACAGAAAATCTGAATAGATCGATCACTGGTGCAGAGATTGAAACAGTAATTAAAAACCTCCCCCCAAAACAAAATTCCAGGGCCAGATGGCTTCACAGCTGAATTCTACAAAATATTCAAAGAAGAATTAATACCTATCCTCCTCAAACTATTCCAAAAAATAGTTGAAAAGGAGGGTGCGCTTCCTAACTATTTTACAAGGCCCACATCACCCTAATACCAAAACCAGACAAAGAAAACACAAAAAAAGAAAATTACAGACCAGTATCACCACTGAACATAGATGCAAAAATCCTCAACAAAATATTGGCAAACCAAATACAACAATACATTAAGGATCATACACCATGATCAAGTGGGATTTATCCCAGGGATGGCAGGATGGTTCAACATCCACAAAGCAATCAATGTGCTACACCACATTAACAACATGAAGTAAGAAAACCATATGATCACCTCAATAGATGCAGAAAAAGCATTTGACAAGATTCAACACCCATTTATGATAAAAAGTCTCAATAAAGTGGGTATGGAAGGAATGTACCTTGACATATTAAAGTGCATATATGACAAACCCACAGCTAACATTATACTCAATGGTGAAAAACTGAAAGCTGAAACAAAAGCTTCATGAAACAATATCCTTACCACATGTGATATTTTACAATCTGTTCTATTATTTCATTCAAAAGAAAAGCTGGTCACAATTTATTCAATTGATTTTACAACCACCTACAGTTTGCAACACTAGAAAACTTCTCTAGGATGAACTATATCCAGGGCTGCAACATGTTAATACAAGCAGTTCCCAACTAAGGATCAGAATCTTTCCAACCAATGCTCATATATTAACTGGTTATTTGAAATTTGAAACACATCCCATGAAGTAAGGTAGTTGGGAAGGGAAGTAATATTTACTGAGTAGTTATTATATTATCTTACTTATTTCTCAACGAATGATCTTGAGAAGAAGAAAATTTTATTCCATTACACAGATGGGGGAAGAGTGAGGCTTGGAGAGGTCAATAACTTATCCAACGCAGTAAAAATGGCACTTGACCCCAGATCATCTGACTCCCAAAACTGCTCTTTCTAGCATCCTAATACATAATTTCCTTAGGTTTATGATGACAGCTTACTCCAAACCCCCATTTCTCCAAAACACAAAACTGAAAAATCTGCATTCAACCCAAATTCAGTAGGATCCTAGAGAACCTAATTACTACTTATGGGGATAATCTATCTAGAGGTAATCCTTGACTATAACTTAGGCTCTCAAAACACATTCTCCACAGGGATAGCAAGCTCCTTGACTCCGCAGTTTATTCCTCAAACACAGCAATGGGAACAGAATTCCCAGTGACTTCAGAGCAGCAGGGAGACAAAGGAGATGGGAATTGCTGGAGATATTCCCAGCACCACTAGGGAAAAGACAGGTATTTCCAGTGTGGAGAGTAATGGAGGCGGCAGTGTTGGCTCCTGGGCCCTCGCTGAGCGATCTGCCTCGTTTCCATATGTGTTCTGCTTCTAGGCCTGATAAGGTGAAAGATGAAAATGAAAAATGAAAAACCGAAAACTAAAATGCAAAACCAAAAGCGCCTCACTGCCCTCCCCCTGCTGGTGCAAGCCTGCCACTAGCTGTCCACATTCATATAGGGTGACAGGAATCCTAGCTTCAAGCCTCTAAACCTGAGCTGTGGCTCATCTGGGAGC